TAATATTATGGTAACAAGTGTACAAATCATCAGAATCCCTGGTTACTTGTTAATGATACTCAGTAAGATAGCCTGCTTGTCCCATTTTGGATAATATCAATTTCTAGACAAAACGTGAGTCATCTCCCCTCGGTTTAAGTGCTGTCAATCAGCTCTCCATTAGGTAAAATGGTGAAAACACGCGTCCAGGATCTTAGATATTTAGTGAAGTAGACATATACTAAAATCTGATAACTATTCATCAGAGTTTGACGTGATTGGGAAGGAATTAGGAAATCTAAGAGGTGGGATTTAAATTGGGCTTTGAAGAATGAAAGGTTACAGAGGATTTGGGAAAGTAAATTGGAGGCAGCGAGGACAAGTAGATGTATGACTGGCACTCACTCAAGGTTGTGTGGAAGGAGGGTCAAAATAAGGCAAGTAGGACCCATTCTGTGGAGGGCAAGGGTAAGAAATTGGAATGATTTGTACATTGGAAGGTGAATAGAAGTTTTCTGTCACGTTATAGGAGAACAGCTGAAGGCTGTGTATATGATAGTATGGATCAGGTGGTTGGACCACCCAAGAGCTTATATGAGAGAAATGAGAACTGAACTAGACTGCTGGCAGAACAGACAGGATGGAGACAACTGATGGACAGTGCTTGATTCACAAGTAGGTTGTACTGCAGTTTAAAAAACAAGCACTAAGCACTCTTATTAAAGCACGTCCTCTAAGCTGTTACACAGATTGATCACTAGGAGGCATCAGTTTATCAACTAGTAAGGTGAAAAGGAAGGCAGCTGGACACTTACCTAATACTTCTGGATAGTTCTCTGTTAATATTTAACATTTTCAACTCAAGGCCTTTGGAAACTAGTATCTATGAAATATTTCTTCTGAATAGTACTTCTAAATGACTAGGAAGTCTAAACTGCACTCTGTGGGACTATTTGGTTATCTTTATACACTGATGAGGGTAAAGTGACATGCTCATAATTTACTGGCTTTTAACTATTTCTTGAAAGATGTTTGACCTTTGGTTTATCCACATCTTTAATAATGATGACTGTTGTCATGAGTTTCTACTGTATGTTGCAAATTAGTTTATAGATCAGGATTTTGTAATCATTATGTATTAAACACTTAATAACTTACCAAGTTCTGTTACATATCTTTAAGCCAGTATTGATTAACGGAGACTTTTAATCAAGTGTTTGACTATGTAACTGCCAAGTAAGAAACTTACCAACTCAGTTCCATTGTTGTAATTCTTATGCTTCTAAATAGAAAACAGTAAGATGCCAGTTTATATAAATACTTCACAATATTAAATTGCATGTTGCTTGAGAAAAGTTTTGTGGAATTTATTTTAGATGATGTCTGACTATAAAAGCATTTAAGGTTCAGAGAGGCTTAGCATGGGGTTATCCATTTAAAAATTATACCAAATATATATTGGTATGGCAAATTTCAAGTCCTTTGCAAATTTTAAAAAGTAGGATGTATCATGAAAAATCTGTCAAGCATTTAAAAAAAAATTGATACTCTTTTTTTTGATGGATATGGACTTCTGATTCCATTCAAGATTTCTACATATGTTGAGCATCTACTTTGTACCGAGACTTTTTCTAGGTGATTGAGACACAGAAACAATGGTTCTTGGCCTCTTAAATAGTTTGTATACTATTCTAGGAGGAAGGGAAACAGAAATAAATAAGCAATAGGTACAGTAAATTATTGAGTAGATGTTAGAAGATAATATATGCTATGGGACAAATTAAGGGGAATTTGGGGGATGCTATTTAGAGTGATCAGATAGGCCTGCTGAACCAAGGCTTGAAGAAAGTGATGGAGATGACCCTGAGTGCTATGCTGAAAACAGTAACGAGGGTAGAATCGGAGATAAGTTCGGAGCCCATTGTAGTAATCCAAGGGGGATATGACGGTGATTTGGATCAGGGTGGTAATGAAGGAACTGGACGGAATCCAGATGTAGTTGAAGGCATAACTAATGGGATTTCCTGACTGTGTAAATTGAATATTGGGAGAAAAAAAATCACTACAAGGCAGGCATCCTTCTACACACTTAAATTCCTAGGGCAAGAGTACAGTGGGGACATATGTTTAAGCCAGGTTTATATTTATGCTGAAACATAACTTGGGGGAAGAGCTGACCCTCAGCCTATGTCCCACCTTCCCATCCCTGGCTCTGAACTGTATGGCAAGGAGCCTCCTGCACATTTACTTGGATGTCATAGCCAGTATAGTCAAACTGTCCACCCCCCTAACACATCAGTGCATGCAATGATGATGTAATGCATTTCCTGGAACAGCTGGGGCTATTCTGGGCAGGGTATTTGGGATCCTGAGAGGGCAGAACAAGTATGCCCTCTAGGTAACATGTCATCTTGACTGTAAAGCACACAATCCTAAAGCTCAGGGCCTTGCATAAGGGCCTTTCCTGGCCTGGTCTAACGGCAGTACTGACCTAGGGTTTTTAGTTTGAGCGTCTGTAAAGAGTATTGCTGTCAACTGAGAAAGGGGGCTGCAGGTAGAACAGATTAGAGTGAGGAAAATAGTTTGGGAGCTCATTTACATGTTTGATTTCTCAGACTACACAAGCAATACAGTAGAGAGATGGAAATGGAGAATTTTCAACTTACAGTAGCACTGACTGGCCTGGAATATATAAAAAATGAAGGTTATTTTTCACAACAGTTAATTCTAACCTATAAACTGGAGCAGTTCCATTCAGGAATTTGTTACAACCTGTCATGTATAAATTATGGACTTCTCTGGCCTATCCAGAGTGTTCTTTTTCAGGTTTTTTTTTTTTTAATTTTCTATAACCTAAAATCCCTTCAGACTTAAACCTCTAGTGAACTATTCAGTGAATGGCTTTACTAGTGTTCCTTTGCCTCGTATGTTTATTATTTTTTAACTTTAGTGGTTTATCCTTTGGCAATAAGCAGTTGGATATAAGTTGGGGATATGAATTTGGGACTCTGACATATAGATGTTATTAAAAGTGACGAGACTAGGTATCAATAAGAGAGCAAGTATAGATAAAGAAGAGAGCCAAAGACTAAGACTTGGGGCATTCCAACATTAAAAGGTTGGAGAGGAGAGAAACTCATAGAGGAGACACCAGAGATGTAAAGGGAAACCAAGTGATGTCCTTGAAGCCAAGTGATGATCTTTATCCGAGAGAAGAAAATGAACTGTCCAGTGCTGCTGATAATCTTTAAACTGCCAACTGTAAAATGCACCTTGAATTAGCCATTTTAAATTTGCTTACCAAAGCAATGGCTTTGTTGGCTAGTTTTCTAAACTTCAATAACTTTTAAGTGATTTGTAGGTTTTTATTGTATATACAGCTGAAGTTTTGTTTTTTGTTTTTGTTTTTGTACAGTGGTGCAAACCTAGCTCCTGCAACCTTGAACTTCTGGGCTCAAACAGTCCTCCACCTCAACCTCACAAGTAGCTGGGACTACAGGCATATGCACCACACCCGGCCAAACTTTTTTTACTTTTGTAGAGGGAGATCTTGCCATGTAGCACAGGGCTCAAGGAATCATCCTGTCTCAGCCTCCCAGAGTGTTGGTATTACAGGTGTGAGCCACCACGTCTGGCCCAACGTAGTTTTTTTTCCTGTAAGTTTACTCATTGTCTTAAAAAATTGGCAAATATTAGCATACAGCAACTCAACTATGTTCTTAATTTGTTAAGTCACAACTGTTGGTGGTGACTGTTGAAATAAGTAAGAGCAAAGTTGTCACCAATCTATGGGATTCTTATATTACTGATATTTTTCAGTAATGCACTCTAGTCAGACCTTGTAGACTTAACTCTGAGCTGCTCACAAAATTACTAAATCATTGGGAAATACCTAACTGGAAATGCTGGCCTTTAAAGTCTCTAGTTATAATTAAATGGGTGATTTTGAAAATTGCACTGGCTGTTCAGACGTTTTCAAATGAGAACAGAATGCATTTGTTTCATACTGATAAACTGCAGAAGGTTAAGTAACACCAAATACACTTGAGTTTCTCCTAAGAAAATGACTTGGGCCTCCAGATTACATCTCATTTTTTTTTACCCTATCAAGTTTGTGTTTTTCCATATGAAATGTCTTTCCCAACTACACCTGCCCTTGGAGACTCTGAATAACAGACAAAGGAAGTATCCTTTCCAGATGAGCTGAAGAATGTCATCCTCTTAAAAGAATGAACAGCTGGTCATGTAGAAATTCTCTGGAATGCTCACTTGCCTGCAAGGGGGGAGGGGACAGAAAACATGTTAGGTGTAGTTTTTTGTTATTGGTATACAGAATTGTAAATCTTTGAGACATAGTTTTACTAGAAGTCTACATAATTTTAACAACTGTCTTTCTCCTGAAAAGATTACTAATCAATTAACAATGTGAAGGCCAGAGATCTGGCCAAGCATAATTTAGTGGGACTCCGGCTTGCTGACTGGATTGTCCCGTTTGATCAGACATTGTCTCTTAGACGAAGATTCAGGACGCCCTCGTGTATGAAAGTTATCCTTTGTTCTCATTACCTTGGGATTAAGTTCGAATTTCTTACCATGACACACAAAGGATTCGATTCTTGCTTAGCTCTCTAAGCTGCTCTTATGTTCTCTTCGCCTCTTGAATTCTTTGCTCTTGCCGCACAGCTAGCAGATGAGCTAATCTGTCTGTTCCAGTTTGGGCACAGTAGCAGCCCTTCCTCTTACCTTGGCCCACTCTGACTTGTCCAGCCCTGGTTTAATTATTCTTTGTGTCCTCGTGAGGGTCCGCACATACTTGGGGCTGTTTACCAAAGGGATGAATTTCCCTAGCGGGAGGCTAGATCTCAGTTAGGCTTTACTTCCCAGAAAGCGGCTTCTATACGCATTAAAATGTAGGAGTAGGAGAGTGCTGGGGACATTGCCTTCCCGGGGTCACAGATAAATGAGATTCCAAAACCAAGATCTGGCTAGGCGCTTGGAAAGAGAGACCCGCGGAGGCCAATCAGGCATTTGGAACTGGGCCTTGCAGTGTGGGATCTCAGCTCAGACGTTCCCCGGTTTGTAGTTAGAAAGCTGAGTTACTGTTTTAATAGATGTAGCACACCGTCCCGACGGGTCAAGAAGAAAGCCGAAGACGGGCTGGTGCCTGCGGTCGGGGTCGAGAAAAAGCAGGCAAGATGCGACCTGACGTGGGTCCGCCTTTCTCCACCCGTGGCAAACCCGACAGTCGCACTATTGCTTTCACAATCGCCCTCTGCAAGAAGAGCTACTTATTGACCGTGAGCGAACATGCGTGGGAAGCACGATGTCCTCTGTGCGCTCAGTTGTTTACCCAGCGTCCGGAGGAGGCACACCCGCAGGACTCGCGAGCCTCGGCCCCGGCCTCCCAGCTCGCCCAGGCCACGACGCTGGCTCTGCGGGCTCTCGGTGCCCAGCGCAAATCCCCAGGGCTAATTCGCAAGGACCGAGACGCAGCACTGCCAGAAGGCAGCCCCCGCCCGCGCAGCCGGGTCCTCACTGTCCGAGGCTGTTAGCACAGAGCTTCGCCGGCCTGGGAGAAGCGGGACGCTGGGGATGGCCTCGCAGCGCCCTGTGGGCGTCGGCATTAGTCTCCAGGCAGCCAGGGCTCCTTGGGCGATCTCCCCGGGTGGAGGAGAGGAGTTTCCGGGGCTCGGGTCCCGGTCGCCTTCCAGGGGAAAGAGCGCGAAAGCAAGTGGGCGGCGAGAGGCGGAGCGAGGGACGCGGGGGGCGTGGACGCAGCCGGCTTTGGAAAGGCCCCAAGTTAATGAGGCGTGCGCCGGCTGCCGAGCGCCTCTCGGAGCTGGGCTTTCCCCCGCGGTGCGGGCGCCAGGAGCCGCCTTTTCCGCTGGGTGTCACTCGGGGGTGGGGAAGATGGCCCATTCAAAAGCGCCGCGAGGGGGCCAAGCCAGTGCCCTTCAGTGAGCGCTCGCAAGAAGACGGCAGAGGCCCGGCGGCTCGCAGCTTCGGGACCTTGTGGCGCATCAGGACGCGGCTGTCCCTCTGCCGGGACCCAGAGCCGCCGCCGTCTCTCTGCCTCCTGCGAGTTAGCTTCCTCTGCGCGCTCCGGGCAGGCGGCCGTGGGAGCCGCTGGGGCGAGGACGGCGCACGGCTGCTGCTGCTGCCCCCGGCCCGAGCGGCTGGAAGCGGAGAGGCCGAGCCTAACGGCGGCCCCGCTTATGCTGGGAGGATGCTGGAGAGCAGCGGCTGCAAGGCGCTGAAGGAGGGCGTGCTGGAGAAACGCAGCGACGGGTTGTTGCAGCTCTGGAAGAAGAAGTGCTGCATTCTCACCGAGGAGGGGCTGCTGCTCATTCCGCCCAAGCAGCTGCAGCAGCAGCAGCAGCAACAGCAGCAACAGCAGCAACAGCAACAGCAGCAGCAGCAACAGCAGCAACAGTCCGGGCAGGGGCCGGCGGAGCCGTCCCAACCCAGCGGCCCCGCTGTCACCGCCCTCGAGCCGCCGGTCAAGCTCAAGGAATTGCACTTCTCCAACATGAAGACCGTGGACTGTGTGGAGCGCAAGGGCAAGTACATGTACTTCACTGTGGTGATGGCAGAGGGCAAGGAGATCGACTTTCGGTGCCCGCAAGACCAGGGCTGGAACGCGGAGATTACGCTGCAGATGGTGCAGTACAAGAATCGTCAGGCTATCCTGGCGGTGAAGTCCACGCGGCAAAAGCAGCAGCACCTGGTCCAGCAGCAGCCCCCACTGGAGCAGCAGCCGCAGCTCCAGCCTCAGCCCCAGCCCCAGCCCCAACCCCAACCCCAGCCTCAGCCCCAGCCCCAGCCCCAGCCCCAGTCACAGCCCCAGCCTCAGCCCCAACCCAAGCCTCAGCCCCAGCAGCCCCACGCGTATCCGCATCCACATCCACATCCGCACGCTCATCCGCATCCGTATCCACACACTCACCCGCACCCGCACCCGCATCCGCATCCGCGCCAGATACCGCACCCGCAGCCGCACTCGCTGCCGCACGGACACCGGCTTCTCCGCAGCACCTCCAACTCCGCCTGAAGAGGGCAGCTCCCGGGCCAGACAAGGTAGGGTCCCGGCACTCGCACTCCCGCGGTGTGGGTCTCAGAATGTTGGGAAGAGTAGGCAGCCTGTTCACAGGTTCGGATCCTGTGTGGAGAAATGAGAACTCTTTCCAAGTTTCTGGGGAGGTGGAAAGAACAGAACCCAACTGGAGCCAGAAGGGCCTGGGCAGAGAGGGGAGGCTGAGGAGACCCGGGCCAGGAAGGAGGCCTCGCGGACCGTGCCCGCGCCCATCATGACCTTCCTGGTCCAGGGGTGCGCCCCCAGCCTTGCTTGGCTGTGTGTCTAGGCACTTGAGGGAGAGACCCCGGTGTCTTTCTGAGCCCGCTTTCTCAGCCGGACTGGCCCGAACAGAACTGGTCTCGGAGAATTCTTGGCCACCTACTTGACTCGATGTCATTTCTTTCCAGGTTTTGAGGACTTGAGGAAGTGGGACGAACACATTCCTATTGTCTTCACTTGGATCAAAAACAAAACGGTCTCCCCGCCCCGCACCAGATCAAGTAGTTTGGACATTACCCTACTGAAAACTTGCGATTCTTCTTAGTTTTCTACGATGCAGGAAACAACTTCAAGTCAAGAAGACTTTATTTATGAACCTTTGAAAGGATCTTCTAGCACGGTGAATTTTGTAGGAGGGATGATGTACTGTAATTTTATTTTAATGTATTTTGATTTATGGTTATTTATTAGTTTTTTAAAAATGCTTGTTCTAAGACATTTCTGAATGTAGGCCATTTGTCAAAAAGGAAACATTATTTTCGAAAACCTATTCCGTAGTAAGTTCTAATCTCGGAAAATAAAAAAGGGCGGTGGAGGGAAAAACATTAAGGATCTATTCATTATTCCTATAGTATTTTCAGAAGGTCTGACACTTTTCATTGTTATGCCAGATGGTTGAAATTAAACTCTGATACTACTTTTTTTGAGGTTTTTTTTTCCGTACACATAGAGTTTGTATAGAAGTTTTAAAAAGCTAAAAGTTCAAAATGTGTAATTATGAAAATCTAACGTTCGAGATAGTTTCTAAAAGGAAATCAGTAGTAAGGATACCTGATTTCAAAATACTTAAAACATAACCTAACTGATGGTAGGATGATTATATCTTGAATATGTGGTAGGATCACATCTACTGTAGGAAAACCTAGCTTATATCATCTGTGTGTAAAGGGCTTAATAAGGAAACGAGGCCTTTTGACTGATTTATGAGTATAGGTACGTTTGCTGTTTTATTTCAAAAGTGTTGTGGAGGAAAAGAGTAGATTTAACTTGTGTAGGAGAATATTTGTGCTCCCGTCCAGGCTGGGGGACCTTTCTCTGAGAGCTTTGCACACTTGACTTGAACCACATTTTTTGATCCCTTTACTTTGTTTTAGAAACACACTGAAAAATCTCATTGTTTAAATTACAATTTGTAGATATTTCAAAGGTCTAGGAGTCATAAGTTTTTGTTTTCATACGGAAGATGATGTAGATCAGAGAAACCAACTGTTTTGCTTTTCATTGCTTGGTGAGAAATGTGAGGATTCTGTTTTGTTGTTAGGTTAGTTAAACTCAGAGATTGAAAAGGAAAAGACTGGATAAACACAGGATTTTCAGTAAGAAAACAACCCCAGTCTTGTCTTAGAAGCCACTTGTTGAGGAGTCCGGGGGAAAAAAAGAGGATGTGCTTTTAAAGGTAGAACAAACCTTCTTCTGTGTTAAATCAAAAGGATGGTCAAAATCCACCAGGGCAGATGCTACATAAGTTTAAATGGAGCCATAGATGATATCAAGTCCTCTTGGGGCTGAAAAGCACTTCCTATCTGCATGACTTTACTAACTGGTTTTTGTTTTCCATTATCTTTTTCACAGAAAGTCTTGGTCAGTACTTTTCCGGCATTTAAATGGAAATGGTCAGTATTAGACCACTGCTAGGTTATGTAGTCAAGAAATAAAAAGCAGAATTGTATTCTACACATGTCTTTATTCTCCTTTCATCTAGAAAGGAATTCCAAGGTCAAATTACTTTTTAGTGCAATAAATGATGACATTTTGAGATCGTAATTCTTATCCAAAAAGTTGCAGGGAAAATTAAAGCAAATGGCAAACAAAACTTAAGTGGACCCCCACTTCCAGTAGTTGTGCAGGTTGTAGTTATGAAAAAAAAAAGCTGCCAACATTCAAAAACTCATTTCATATGTATATATGTATACACATATATGAATATGTATGTATATATGTATACATTTGAGAGCATGTATGTGCATATATACACATATATATGTATGCATATATGAATACATATATAAGTATGTATATAGGAATACATATATGAATATGTGTATATGTACATGTATGTATATATGTATATGAAATGAGAGCCAGATCTAAAAATTTCACAAATCAAGTTTGGTTCAGCTTCCTTAGGACTACAGGTGTACTTTTTGAGGAATGCCTCATGGTACTCCTTTTAATACATGCAAATCATCATAACTCCAAATGAACCACGGTTTTTTCCCAACGGAGAATTTATCTTTTAAATTCTTGTATGAAAAAAAATCCATACCAAATACCTTATAAATTAAGATTGATATAGGTTTTAAAAAGGGCATTTGTATGTTAGCTTACATATAGGGCTAGGTAATTTCATTGTTTCAAAAAATATGCCCAGGCTACCTCTTGGTGGCTAGATTTTTTTTCCCCCATTGTGGCTATGGTTCTTGATAGGGCCACCAGAATCACGGTATCTTGTCTTTCTATAGCCCTTGTTCCTTAGTCTGTTGTGATATTTATGTTGACTTGACCTTTATGACTTTCTAGTCTGAACCCCTCTTAGCATTTAACTGTGAAATCTAAGAAATTAGAGAGTAGAATGACTTTTATTATATTGACACCTTTGAAATCATTATTAATAATTTTTCCAGAGCAAAAAAGCAAACACACTCAATAAGACTAAACAAAACAAAATATAAATACATATCATGTAATGTTTCAGTGGCTCTATTCTACCTGTAAGAAATGGTACAAACCACCTAAGGTATTTTGAAGCCTGACAAATAAGCTTCATGAAAAAAGGTAAAAAATGTCTTTTTCAACCCAAGGAAGAGGAGACCGAAAGGGCAGATCCACTCCTTAAATAAAAGTAAAATGTAAAACGTTGGAAAATTAAGAGTCATGCTTCATCTGGAAACTGAACTTTTGTCCTTGAACTTGTGTTGGCACCAAGCCTCATACACAGTGAGCTCAATAACTATTTGTTGGGACAAAGGAAGGACAAAATGTGTCACTCCTCAGCATCTGGGAGGTGCTGTCTCTTGCCTCACTGAGTGCTTCTTCTCTTTGCTCTCATGTCATTCCCTGAGAACAGTTAATTCTGGGACAGGCTAAACATGATGAGCTTCTTAAACAGACTTTCTTAGTGGAAATCCATTTAGATCTATAGATGCTCTATGGGCAGTGCTGACGTCAGAGAGTAAATATCTATCAGGGGCCCTTTTAAAATGAACATTTTCCTCATTGAACAAGCTGGGATCCTGTACTCATGTAGAAATCAAGGCAGCTTTATAATTTCACTTCAAAAGTTTATGTTTTTGTCTCCAATGGTGGTAAAAATAAAAAACGCACATTACTTAAGGAGTCTCGCTCTCATGTAAACACTATTAGGAAGTCTGGATTAAGTTGAAAGTCCTGCTTTAACTCCGTTTTTGCTCTCATCTACCAAACACTTTGTATGTCTCGTAAAGAAGCCCTTACTCTTAAGAGAAAGCCCTCATTTTAAATCTGACACTAAAGTTTGCTACAAGTGTATGAGTTCAACCACATCCCTTGTTTTCTGTCCCTAGGAAACAAGTCATGTGGTTTTAGCATGGCTCCAATGTTAACAATATTATATGCAGTAGCAGGCTTAGAAGAGTGGACTAAGACTGGAACCTGGAGCGATCCCATAGCACAGAATCCTATAAAGATAGATCTGTGAGCATCTGTTTTCCTTTTGTGTGTCAAACTCATTGGTTTTTGCTTTGCCAATAAAATATCCTAAGCAGAATACATTTTAAATAAGAAAATTATAGATCTTGGTATTGAATCCATCAGTGATTCAAGAGATACACCTATTTGCCTAAAACAACCTAAGATGTATTAGTTATGGAATTATGCTGGCTAGGTTCTTAAGGCCTATTTCCTGAATTCTTGACACAGTTTTCAAAGATGGCTTTTTGATTTGCACGGTTGAGCAGCCAATCCAGATTTACCTAAGATTGGGTGAAAAAAAGTGATTTGTGACTTCGTTGGCAGGGCATTTGCTAAATGGAGTATAGGATCTAACAGGGTTTTCTTAGAAAGGGCAATATTGTCCAATGAAGGAAACAGGAGGACTCTGGGTTAGAAGCATCTGCATAAAAGCTGGTGAGACTTAACTCTCCACTGCTCTGCAGCTGGTCGGCTGATGGCAGGCTGAGCAGTGGGGAAGCAGGTTTTAACAATAGGTAATCCGTCCAGGTCACTGTATGTTGAGAAGAAACATAAAACTGTTGTCTGTTACATTCCGAGGTCAGTCTTCTGCTTAACGTTTCATAGTATACAAATGCCAGTTTCTGGAAAGCAAGTATCACCATGTACCAGATGCTTTATACACCATCACATTCATGAATTTATTAGCATGGTCAGAACTTGTGTAAATATATCTCTTAGAGGATTTTGGGGAGATGTGATTTATTTTTCATATTTTCAAAATGCATTCCATTTCAAATAAAGTATCTATTGAGACAACTGACCTGTGGACCTTTTGAAGGCCTCATTCAACTGACACCTTCGTTGTGTGTTCCTGTGAAACAGAGATTCTGAGTCGCTTGGCCATTCTGAAAAGAAAAAGACTGTTTTTGAAGTTGGGAATTCATTTTTTTTTTAATTCACTGGGCATTTGGAATATGAACATTCACTCAGGTCTGTTGGTGAAAAACTTAGCTTTCAGAATGCTAATGTTTAGTTGAATTTTCCATAGTTTCTCAAAGGACCAGAAACAGTCCCTAGTGAATTAGCTCAACAGCAATTCCCTCTTGAGTCCGAGAAGTAGTTAAATTCTCTTAGGTCTCTTGGGAGGGTAGAGCTTTGACTCTGAGTCATCCTTCAAACAGGTATTCATAACCCTTCCTATTTTGTGTTGAAAGCAGAAGAGGAACTTGATTCCTTAAAGAAAAATAGCATTAACTTTATTCTTACAATCCTCACTGGCATCTAAAAGCCGTTAAATCTCAAAAGACTTTAAAATAGGAGATTTGAAGACATTCTGTTTTTATCCCTTAGCATAGTTTCACATTGACAGCTTTATTATTCAAGTTTTTTTTTTTTTAAAGAAACAATGTGAGAAGACAAATGACTGTCATGCTGAGGGGACTTTAGGGACACTGTGCAAAATGAATGTATATAATAGGCGGTAACCCAGGATTGGTAAGAGCCAGGATTTGAGAATCATAGTACACAGGTTCAAGTCCCAGTTCCACAATTATTATCTGTGTAGATCTTGAATTACTTAAACCTTTGGAAGCTCAGTTTCCTTTTCTGTAAAGTGGAGTGAATGAAGGTACTTTTTTCAGGGTTATTGAGGAGATTTAATATGTTAGGATACATAGAAGTACTTAGAGCAGTGCCTGGCATCGCTATGAAAGAAAGAGCCTTGCATTAGGACAGATAAACGGAGAATTGTTATAGGCATACTATATAATATATGGTATTCTGAAGCTAGGCATTGTATTTTCTGAGATCTCAGCACATCTTTATTTATTTATTGAGTCAGAGTCTTGCTGTGTTGCCCAGGCTAGAGTACAGTACATCTTGGCTCACTACAACCTCTACCTCCAGGGTTCAAGTGATTCTCCCACCTCAGCCTCTTGAGTAGCTGGGATTACAGGCGTGTACCATCACAGTGGCTAATTTTTGTATCTGTAGTAGAGACGGGGTTTCACCATGTTACCCAGTCTAGTCTCGAACTCCTGACCACAAGTCATCCCAAAGTGCTGGGATTGCAGGTTGAGCCACCATGCCTGGCCTCAGCACTTCTTTTTAAACTGTAAGAATAGTATGTTTGACCACTTCCTTGAATTCAACTTTGAAAAAAGAGAAAAATACATTATGCAAATACCATTTTAAATTTTATGGTTATTATTATTTCTTTTGAGGCGGAGTTTCACTCTGGCGCCCAGGCTGGAGTACAGTGTAGCACAATACTGCAACCTCAGCCCCCCGAGTAGCTGGGATTACAGGCATGCACCACCATGTGTTTTTTACAGATTTTTGTGTTTTTAACAGAGACGGGGTTTCACCATGTTGGCCAGGCTGATCTCAAACTCCTGACCTCAGGTGATCCACCCGCCTCGGGCACCCAAAGTGTTGGGATTACAGGCGTGAGCCACCACGCCCAGCCTATTATTATTACTTTTTAGAGACATGATCTTGCTCTGTTGCCCAGACTGGAGTTCACTGGTGTGATCATAGCTCACTGCAGCCCAGAACTGCTGGGCTCAAGCATCCTCCCACCTCAGCCTCCTAAAGTCCCAGGATTACAGGTATCAGTCACCATGCATGCAAGCACTAACATATTCATGACCATTTTTATTTGCTTATTACTTTCCAGTCTCGGTCCACCTACTCATGTATTTTAAGTTACTAACAAATTATTCAATAAAAATAATCATATATGTAGCTGTGGTGCTCTTCCCAGATTGCTACTTCAGGACAGAGAGGGCATTCAGTCACCATATGTGGAAGTGTCAGTGGCTATCATGTTCACAGCAAGTTTTTTCCCTGGGGATCCACTGTTTCCTAGAGCACACCCCTCTTTGTGGGTAGCCCATATCCAGTGATGGGTCTATGGGGAGTGGACGAAGGCCAGGCCAACTGTAAAGGATCATCCAAGCTGCAGAGCGGCCTGTGGAATTGGCTGAGGCCTCTCACAACCTGTGGGCATTGCACTTCAACTCTCACTCTGCCCAATTCTGTTTCCCGTGCTTCCTCACAGGTGAGGCTCCCAAAAACACTACTTGGGGTGTGAACACTTGTTCTCCCCCTAACCTCCTGCCATCAAATCTCAGTCTCAGAACCTGTATCTCAGGGAATCCTGCCTGTGACCATGTCTGTTTCTGTATGCGAATATATGTATGTTCCCACCACCAGGTTCTGTAGGAAGGTTGGTGGTGTTGGGAAGGGAGTATACAGTGTAATGGTAAAGTGGTTCTCAATCTAGAGCAATTTTGTCCCCCCAGAAGACAGTTGGCAATGTTTGGAGACATTTTTGGTTATCCCAAGTGGTGAGGAGAGGCCAAGGATGCTGCTAAATATCCTACTATGCACAGGATGGCCCCACCTACAACAAAGAATTTCCTAACCCAAAATGTCAGCCATACCATGGTTGAGAAACTCTGCTTTGGAATCAGATAGTCTCATTCTTAGGAGCTGAGTTGCTTCGGGCACGTAATTTAGCTTATTTTAGCCTCAGTTTTCAGTGTGTGTAATGCAGACAATGATAGTTCCTGCCTCGTGGAGTTGTGAAACCAAAATTAGTTTGTTCACATAAAAGACTGTGGCTGTTCCTGTCGCAAAGTATGCATTCAATAAGTGGTAGCTATCATCATTATTATTACTGTTTAGAGTCATAATGTTAATGACAGCATAATATGCCATTTAGTTGGTATATTATTTCACTTATTTGCCTGTTGCCATCTGGTGATTTTCTGTTGTTATGCTGTTAACAATACAGCTGCAATAAACATCTTCATGCATATATTATATTGAATAAAACATTAACTGGAATTCTAGTTCTGATTCTTAGTCTTCTGACATTAGCAGCTCATTAAATCTCTACTAGCGGTAGTCTGCTCATTTCTAAGTGGGAATAATAGCCCTGCCTGAGAGGAGCTATTATGAACATACTATGAAGTGGCAGTAAAATCTGCATGAGTTCAAGTCCCAGAGGCACCACTTAGCCACTTTACTTACAGTAAAGCATCATGAAAATGCAAACATTATTATTATCTGGATACCATCTTAAGAGGAATTAGATATTATATATTCATATACATATGTGTATCTCAATCCAAATTATCTGGTTTTAAGAAACAGAATGGGCTGAGCATGGTGGCTCATGACTGCAATCCCAGAGCTTTGAGAGGCCAAGGCAAGAGGATCACTTGAGGCCAGGAGTTCAAGACCAGCCTGGCAGCGTAGAAAGACCCCTGTCTCTATTTTTTTTTTTTTTAATATTCTGACAAAGGCTTATAAAAAAGGAGAAACAGAGATTTAAAAAAAAAAAAGAAAGGAAATAGGCTTTTACTATAAATAAAAACAAAATAGTATCAAGGAATTTCTAGTTTTTTATAGAATTTGACCCAAATTTATATTTATGTTAAAGTGTTGTGTCAACACAACATTGCAACTATCCAGAATTATTTACAGAAGAAAACCTGAATAATGAACTCATTGGCCACATAAATCTATTCAGTAAAATGTCCTTATTTGCTTTTTTCTCAAAGAACTGATGGGAAGCCCACACCAGCTACCTAGAAAGGCCATACTCAAAGAAATGTTATACACAAATGTTCTACAGCTCTAGCCTCACTTGCCTACAAAGTAAGTCTGGTTATCAAAGATGGTGCCAGTGGGGCCAGAACACTGTGGAAATATAGATGATCTGGGATAGACTGTTGCTATTGGCAAATCTAATTGGTTTGAGGATTGTTCAGAATCTGATTTTATCCTGAAGGGATTGTTAGGACCTGAAGATAAAGAGGTCCACTTTGTCACTCCTAGACACAGAGTCAGAATTAGCTGCTTCTGAGACAGAGTCGTGAGAATGGCTTACTTTTTGCCAGAGCATTCACCTGAAGCATTTGATGTTTAATTGTTTAGTTAGACTCCGGAAATGAAAACTTGAAAAAATAGTCAATGTGGTTATGTTGTATACTCTTAAGGCCTGCCAAAGTCATTTATAATGGAGTGAGCAAACATGTGCTGCCGGCCTTTAAGACCAGACATCCTGTGCTTCCAAAGCAACTGATAGATGAGTATGCAAGTATCGGAGAGGAAGAAACAGGAAATGACCCTTGGGAGTTTCAAATTAATTATGAAACTACTGACTTTCTCCTGAAGCTGGCAGTTCATACAGTTGACTTATTTTACAAGTATTTTGAAGTTTGCTGTAGCAAATTCTAACCAGTAATGTGACTTACCCCGTCAGGGCTGACTCATGACCTCAAAACTTCAGACCAGCTTTGTGACTAATCATAAAGAAGCCAAACTTGTAGCAGTTTTAGGCATAGTCTCTTGTTTTTTGGTTTTTAGTCGTTAAAGAAATGTTCAACAAAACTTGGCTGCAGTTGGTTGGCTGTAGTTGGTAAACACCTGCCTTTGTGTGTGTGTGTATTATAATCACTATTTTTACTCTTGTTGCTGGTAACTTTTCATGGCATATGAAGGCAGCCTGGACAGTTTTTTGGTGTAGAACTTGATCTCTAAGCGTTTGCAGCGGCCCTGGGCAGAGTGGCTTCCTTAGAGTTCTGAGCGCTCGGCTTTGGGGGTTAGGCCTATCCTGCCTGAATACCTATTACAAAGCCGTGGTCTGTGGTGGTGCCAGGTCCCGTTGTAATTTCCTGTTGCCACATTTCAACACCACTGCTGGAGGGGATGACTCTGGTCTCAGTGGGAGAACAATTCAGTAACTTACTCTTTGAGTTTCTGACAGAAAAGGAGCGTCCTGAGGTGGATTGCATTTGTATATGGGTT